CCATCTGTATATTCTACCTATGCTGCGCACTCTCGACACTTTCTTGAGACACTCCATCACAATGAGCTGGGTCTCACATCCATCTATCAAGTCTGCGAGTGCATTTATCATCCCTAGGATGTCCAGCTGAAAGAAATCGGGCCCTAGTGCGCCCCCTGAGCATATTGCTAGAGCTTTATCGCTAATTTCCCCGTATAGCAGAGATAATAATCGCTCGGAATCCTTCCATGCTTGCGGGTCGACAAGCTGTAGCGGTGTGTACTTGATCAATCTCTTCCAAAAGGTGGATCTACTATAGCACATCTCCAAAATGTTGGAGGCTGGTGTGTCATCTCCGTCATACTTAATGTTGTGATCGCGAGCAGCACTTTCTACTGGACTAACATCGAAACATGACGGGAACTGTCGAGTCCAGATAGTTCGGCCAACCATATCAGAGGGGTCGACGAAATCAGCAGGGGTGCTAAGCGTTCCCAACCAAGCAACAATGTACACTTCAGAGTTGGAACTTTTGCTGTTGTATGATCGGAACTCTGTAGTGCATTCAGCAAACTTACTAATCATTGCGATCTCAGAGTCGTATGCTTCTGGGCATACAGTTTGAGTCTTGATGACCCAGCATATTTTCTCTCGCTTGCAGATACGAGTCCCTAGCACCATCAGATTCCAGATCCATGACAATCTACCCCCTTCTGGAAACTTCCCGAGAGGTGTCCCATCAGACACAACATACATGTCATCTGACGGACGCCCCCTCCTCTCCATCCATCGCGACATTAGCACCTTGTGGGTTTCAGAGTGCATTAAGTCAGAAGGATCAGACTTAGGTGCCTGCAGATTGGCGACTTTCTCTTTTGCGCCGAAGAGATACATCGCAGAGTAAGGATCTTCGAGAGTGGAATCAGAATAGAAGGAGTTGACTAATAGGGTTTCTGTACAAGGGAGGTTGGAAAACCATGCAGCAGCTGCGCAATCAGCTTCTGCCGTGAACACAAAATCTCTAAGGACTACCCCTGTGATTTCAGGAAGGCTGAGCATTAAAGGAACCAATTTGCTGCACCCAGTACCCAAAGTGCTGTACTTCCTGAAATATCGATCCCACGATAAAGATTTGATTCTGTTCGACCCGTACCACTCCACTAGATCAACTCGCTTCGTTAAGCTGCAACTTTCTCCAAAAGTCAAAAGCGGAAAAAACTCCCCTGGCTGCGCAGTGATCCTCGGTACTGATGTCCATGCTTTGCCGTATGTGACAGATCGGTTTTGGTGTGGCTGCCCTTGTGCCATCAGCACTCTCCGCAGGTACCTGTCGGCCATGAGCATGAAGTACGCAGGATCAACTATGCTCCATGCAAATTGAAAGAACTCATTCCAAGCCGAATCGCTGATTCAAATTGAGTTCTGTTTCAATGTCTTAATTATTGCCAAGATCACGTGAGAGTCTTTGACAAGAGTGCTGTCATTCATAATCATCCTAAACTTGACATTTAGCGATTTCGGCAGATCCCACCTTTGAAATTGCTCAACAAGTTTCAAGTAAGTTATGGCGACTAAGGTTGTTCTAATCCGATTTGTGTACCCCTGAGGGCCTTGGAAGAAGATGCAGCGCGGGTTTAGGGTTTAGGGTTTAGGGTTTAGGGTTTAGGGTTTAGGGTTTAGGGTTAGGGTTTAGGGTTTAGGGTTTAGGGTTTAGGGTTTGGGTTTAGGGTTTAGGTTTAGGGTTTAGGGTTTAGGGTTTAAGGGTTTAGGGTTTTAGGGTTTAGGGTTTTGTTTAGGGTTTAGGGTTTAGGGTTAGGGTTTAGGGTTTAGGGTTTAGGGTTTAGGGTTTAGGGTTTAGGGTTTAGGGTTTAGGGTTTAAGGTTTAGGGTTTAGGGTTTAAGGAACCCTGAACCCCAAGCTGTTGAGGTTTAAGGTGTGCCCTGCCCCTGCATCTCACGAGCCCAACAAAAGCCCCCAAAGGCCCCAAAGTGCACCTGGCCCCAATCTTCCACATCGTGCACGGCAGAGGAAGCCATGGGCGTCGGAGGGATTGGCAACCCGTCCGCACACACACGCTTTGTCTTGAGCCAGGGCATGTATAGGTGCAACCTCCATCTGCAGCTTTGGGAGCACGCAGCCCAGAACCCCAAAGCCTACATCCCGGCATTTAGAGTTTCGGATGTAGGGCTCAGGGGCTTAGAGCCTAAACCCTAAACCCTAAACCCTAAACCCTAAACCCTAAACCCTAAACCCTAAACCCTAAACGCTAAACCCTAAACCCTAAACCCTAAACCCTAGACCCGACCCTAAACCCTAAACCCTAAACAGGTTGCCTTACGCATGTCACTCTGCCTCTAAGCCGTGAACCTGCAAGTGCTCCGCCTCGAGCGCCCTGAACTTTGCACGCCTCACCTCCCCGGAACCCTAACTGCGCACCCTGCTAAACTTCGAAATCCTAAACCCTAAACCTGCGTTACCCTAAACCCTAAACCCTAAACCCTAAACCCTAAACCCTAAACCCTAAACCCTAAACCCTAAACCCTACCCTAAACATCGGTTTGGGGTTTGGGGTTTTGTGTTAAGCGCTTGGGCCTGCAAACGCCCAAGCTCGGACTCTCGCAGCTCGAAGGGCTTGGGGTGGGCTAAAGGTCCAGGATTGAGGGCCCCGCGGTTTAGGGTTTAGGGTTTAGGGTTTAGGGTTTAGGGTTTAGGGTTTAGGGTTTAGGGCTTAGGGTTTAGGGTTTAGGGTTTAGGGTTTAGGGTTCAGGGTTCAGGATTTCCCCTACTATTAAGCCAGGAAGTTCCAGTTTAGGAATTCGGGCCCGGGGTTTGGGGTTTCGAGTTTGGAGTTCGAGGGGAAAACCACGAAACCCTGAAACCCTAAGGTGTCGGGTTCGGGTTTGGGCTTTAGGGCTTAGGATTTAGGATTTAGCTTACCCTAACCCTAAACCTGAAACATGAGAAAAAAAACAAAAAGAACACACAAAAAAAATAGAAATAAATAAAAATAACAGAACCCGGAAACCCAGCAAAAAACAGGGAAAACCAAAAGCCCGCCCAAAAGGCCCCCCAGCCCAAAACCCGAAACCCTCAACCCCAAACCCCAAACTCTAAACCCTAAACCCCAAACCCTAAACCCTAAACCCCAAACCCCAAACCCTAAACCCTAAACCCCAAACCCTAAACCCTAAACCCTAGAATCCCTCCACAGATCTTTGAGCTGCCAGATCCCTCAGAGCCCCCAGAGTGGCCTCGTCGAGCTTCTGGAGCTCCTTCTGCCCTGAGGCGACCTGGTTGCCCCCCATGTTGAGAGGGTTTAGGGTTTAGGGTGTAGGGTTTAGGGTTTAGGGTTTAGGGTTTCGGGTTTAGGGTTTAGGGTTTAGGGTTTAGGGTTTAGGGTTTAGGGTGTAGGGTGTAGGGTTTAGGGTTTAGGGTGCCGCTTGGTTTTGGGCGCTCTCGCGCCTTGCGGAGGGGGGGGTTGTAGGCCTTCTTGCGGGCGTTTCCCACAGTAGGGGCACCCCCTGCATGCCCCAAAGACACGTCCCCTAGAAGGGCACCCCGAAACTGTCTTTGAAGCCCTGAACTTCAGGATCACGACCTCACGCAAAGCAGCTATCTCTCGGCTGCCCGATCCCGCCAAAACAGCCTTCAACCCGAAGCCCTAAACCCTAAAACCCTAAAAACCCTAAAACCCTAAAACCCTAAAAACCTAAAACCCTAAAACCCTAAAACCCTAAAACCCTAAAACCCTAAAACCCTAAAACCCTAAAACCCTAACACCCTAAAACCCTAAAACCCTAAAACCCTAAAACCCTAAAACCCTAACACCCTAAACCCTACAACCCGAAAACCCTAAAACCAAAACCCGAAAACCGAAAAAACCCCTAAAACCCTAAAACCCATAAGCCCCCAACTGCCACCAGCTATGCCCCCAACCCTCAAAGTCACCCCCCCCCCCCCCCCCCCCCCGAAGAAACAAAATCAGACAAACGTACGCCGGAAATGTCGGCGCAAGAAACCCCCTCCCCCCTAAACCCCAAACCCCAAACCCTAAACCCTAAACCCGCAACCCTAAACCCTGGGCCCCCTCGATGCCCGAGGCAGCTGCCTGCGCCTGCAGCGCCTTGATCTGCCGCTCCCGCTGCGACCTCCCCGAAATCCCTTCGGGTTTAGGGTTTAGGGTTTAGGGTTTAGGGTTCAGGGTTTAGGGTTTAGGGTTGAGGGTTGAGGGTTTAGGGTTCAGGGAAATCTGGGTTTAGGGTTGAGGGTTTAGGGTTGTTGAGGGTTGGTCGGTTCAGGGTTGAGGGCTCATGTCCTACTGACCCCAGTTGCTGAAGCGAAGGGTCAGAACCTTCAGTTTAGAGCTTTTGCTCCGGAATATTTACTACAAACCTGCAGAGAGAAACAAATCTATCGGCTCTAACCCTTGACCTGCAGCCCACAATTACGCTAAACCCTAAACCGTAAACCCTAAACCCCAAACCCTAAACCCTAAACCCTAAACGCTAAGCCCTCCAGCCGTCCTTTCGTGGCGCAGCGCGAGCCAGGCGTCGGTGCTGACCGTCACGGAGCCTCCTCCGCTGTCCCCCGAAACCCTGCTAGGGTTTAGGGTTTAGGGTTTAGGGTTTAGGGTTTAGGGTTTAGGGTTTAGGGTTTAGGGTTTAGGGTTTAGGGTTTAGGGTTTAGGGTTTAGGGTTGAGGGTTTAGGGTTTAGGGTTTAGGGTTTTGGGTTTTGGGTTTTGGGTTTTGGGGTTTTTCTTACTATCCACAAAAACAGATGGTGATCGCAACCTTAGCAGTGGCCCGCCCAGCAGGTCGCTTGGCGCGGCGGGGGGGAGATCCTCCCCGCGCTCCTTGCGCTTCCCCAGAGACTCCAAAACGCCTTAATTAAGGAATATACCTTAAATCATATTAGGGTTCCTATTACAAATTAAGGGATATTCCTTAATTAAGGGGTTTTGGAGTCTCTGGGTCCTCGGCTGAGAAATCTCGCCACCTGCTTCGACGCAGAGACGGTCGTC